AAAAAAAAAAAGAAAGAAAGAAAGAAACAGAAAGTACTGTGTTTCCCCCCAAATAAGACATTGTCTTATATTTATTTTTTCTCAAGAAGACACACTAGGGCTTATTTTTAGGGGATGTCTTATTTTTATTAAGTATAATACAATAATCTACATTTGTTCAAATACTGTTAGGTCATCTTCTTCTGGAAGCTGACAGGGGGAGCCAACCTTGTTGGTGGGGCTGGCGCTAGTGATGCATGAACTCCTTTCCCCTAGCTGCTCGCATGTGCGCAGTAGGATGCCTGCAACTGGGGTAACCACACACGCACTCGCGCAAGTGCGAAGGGCTCAGAGAAAGGAGCTGTGGTTAATAAAAGGTATTCTAGTCTTCCTTACCGCTGGGCAGAATTTTGTATTGCATAACCACGCCCATCACTAGGTCTTATTATCGGGCTAGGGCTTATATTTAACAAATGCATAGAAATCCTGTTAGGGCTTATTTGGGGGGTAGGTCTTATTTGGGGGGAAACACAGCAGATTGGTGGTCTCCATAGGCTGGGGGAAGGGAAATGGTTATCAACTGCTTAATGGGTACTGGTCTTTATTTGGGGGTGAAGACGTTTCAGGACACATAGAGGTGGTGGTTGTATAACATGATAAATGTGCTAAATGACACTAAATTGTTTGTTTTAAAATGCTAACTTTTGTGTTATGTGAATTTTGCTTCAGTAGCAAAAAAGTCAGGTCACCAACTGATTTGGATGCAGAGGAGTTAGAGTCCACAAGTTGGTGGACCCATCTTTTTTTTTCCCCCTATGTCAGAAGAGTAATGGGCTCACATCATAATAAGGTTTCAGGGAGGCACTTCTCACACATGCCTGTGAACACCCAAACATCATGCTTCTGAACTACAAAAGAATCTAATCAATCTTCATCATACAACAAGGAGCCTTTAAGGAATGAAGTCTGTAAATCCTTGATGTTCTCTTACCTTAAATGCCCCTGAAAAGTTAAGCAGAAAGAAGCGAAATAATAGACTGTACTATCCCCACTGCACCTCTCATTGCACAAGTATAACTAGACAACTTGTCTAGTTCGGCCACTTTACCTCATTCCTTCCTCCCCTCCAGATTCCCATCTTCATGGTTTCTTCCTGCCCATCTGGAAACACAGTTACAAAGTAGGTTGAATTCCCGGCTCTGACCCGTTTTGGTGGCGGTTATGCATTACTTTATTTAAAATGCTCTGACCAGCCAAGAGGTAGGTATGAGCTACTTTACTGTTTGTTTGCTCTAGGCTTCACAGAATTTCTGTAATATAACAAGCATAAACCTCGAAATACAAATTTGGGTCCTTTCTACCATGCCCAGACACATGCTAAGTAGCCACACACTAAATCATCTCCCCTGCATCTCAATTCTAATGGTTTCCCGCATTCCCCTCCTCGTAGCTGCTGGGAAGAGCCCATTGCCTGTTGGAGATGGAAAGAGAATCAGTGACTCCGTCACGGAGGAGGCTGCATTTGAGTGGGGCCCTGATGGGTGGGGAGAGATGGAGACACAGTTACTCTAGTACAGAGGTATAAAGCACACACGGATGGTAGCAGGTTATGAGGACGGACAGTTCCTAGTTTTTTTGTTTGTTTGTTTGTTTGTTTGTTTGTTTTTGCGGTTTCTGGCCGCGGCTGGGTTCGAACCTGCCACCTCCGGCATATGGGGGGAGGCTGGCGCCCTACTCCTTTGTCCACATTTCCTAGTTCTTATGATCCCATTCCTCAGTCCTCCCACTTCCCACACCCATTGTCCCCAGTGTATAATACTCTCCTAACTAGCGGGCTCAGTTAAATAGTTGCCCATTTTCTGTATCTGGTCTTCAATAGCCACAC